ACCGTCATTACAGCTGGGATTTTTGGAGTCAGTCCCAACTGTCCCCTCCCTGGTGGCCATTCCCCATCCCAACACACCAGTTACCCCATTCTCAACACTTTCATGCAGAACCTTAAAAAAAATAATTAAAAAAAAAAAAAAAAAAGAGTGTAGGGACCTTGAACTGGGCTTTAAGTCAGTGATGAAACAGTGCCAAGGAGGGCAGCAGGGCAGTGTGTTATCAGCAACCCCACATCCAGCACACAGCAGGGTCACATGGAGAACATAATCTGTTCTTAAGGGTAACAAAAATGCCATTTCTGACAGACAGTCGCATGATGAGCTCAGAAGCAGCTCCACAGTCCCTCCTGATCCGCTCACCACACTTGGAGAGCTCTTCAGGAACCCAGGACCCTACGGTGGCATGCAAACTTCTGATTACTTTTTGGTTTTAATGTACCTTGAACTCAGCTCAGCTGAAAAGCAGAAGTAGCAAACACTGTGGTTTCGTTTGGAGGGGACAATTTGTGGCAGAGGAAGTTAAAAAGAACTTCCTGGGCAATAAAGTTTCTGATCTTTTGTTGATCCTGCAGTGCAGAGTTCTCTGCTGAGGCACCTGACCAAGAGCCCAGATCTCCAGCCTGACAGTCCAGTCCAGGTCTGGATCCTCCTGCAGCACAGACACAGTTGCAGATTCCATTGCCCAGCCTGGTCTGGAGATGATGTAGCAAAAACTGCTGTGCAGCCCAAAATAATACAGCTCTGACAGGGGTCTGACAGGTACCTTCCCACAGCCCTTCCAGGCTCCACTTCCCACTGGAAACTGTGCCACAACATCTCCAGGTCAGCTGGCAGCTCCTGTACCAGGCACCCTCACCCACAGGTCCCTCACACAGGTTGTTCCTGCTCTTGAGACGCTCCACATGCACAAGAACAGCTCTCCCCAGTGAATCCACATTTTTACTGCATCATCCTGTGAATCACCCTCTATCCACAAACCACAGAGTACAACATCTGGTGAGAGTCGTGTGCCCAGCTCCTCAAACCTGACTGCTGCCTCATCTTTCCCACCTATTCATCCTGATTTCCCACCTCATCCTGACAAGGGCAAAAGAAAAAGAGCAAAGTCCTTAAAAAACAGAAAGTGGAGGCACATGAAGGCAAACAGAGGCTGGCAGAGCTCAGCAACCCCTCCCTGATCAAGCAGGTACCCGTTCAACTGATGTATCCTTGGGTGAGCTACAAACATGGATCTTCCTTGGGAAATTCTGGATCAACGGAATTTTAGTCTCCTTGATAAGAACAGGAAATGAATGGACTACCATACGGCAAAAAAAAAAAAAGCTGAGTGACTGATCTGAGTTAAACTGCTCGTTGAAACCCCTCTGGAAGAGCCATCTAATACAGAATTCCAAGAACAACACAGAATCCCAGAATGGTTTGGGTTGGAGGGGACTCAAAGCCCATCCAGCCCCACCCCCTGCCATGGGCAGGGACACCTCCCACCAGCCCAGGTTGCTCCAACCTGGCCTTGGACACTTCCAGGGGCAGCCACAGCTTCTCTGGGCAACCAGACTGTTTAGTGAAGGCAACAAACTCCCTGCTGTGTCTGAGCCCCTGCCAAAGGCGTCGGTCTCCTCGTGCCAAAAAGCACTGGAATCCTCCCCGCTGTTGCATCAGACCAAGGTGAAAGAGCCTTCCCAGAGCCCTCCTGGGAACTCCTATTTATTTGGCGCAGTTTGGGGAACACAGAGAAGCACTTCCTGAAGAACAACATCTGGCCGAGTACCCACAAGAAAACACCCTGAATTTTCAAGCTGTTACTCCAGCTGGGTTTCATCAACTTACATTGTCTCACGCAGGTGCCCCTGACCTGCCACAAATGTTACCATGTTGGCTCCCATCCACCCAAAACACGGGTAGGAAACTGCACAAGAAGGGCAAGGATAAGCCTCAGATGCCAGGTTGGGTGGATATTTGCTTAGGAAACGCTGTGATGGCAGTAACTGAGGCAATACCTTCTGGGTGGTTTGTGCAGAACACACTCTGTGACCCCAGAGATGTAATGATGCAAGCAGTGAAATGAAATATAAATGAAGAGCAGAGTAAGAAAGGTGCCAGCTCACCTTTAAAAGCTGCATCCCTCCCATTTCAGGTAGCTGGATCATGGGAGAGGAAAGAAAAGGAGAGGGAAATGTGATCTAACTTGCACTAACCATTTAAACCCCATGTCTTCTAAAACCACGAGGCAGAGGCTAATGGAGTTTTAGGGGACAACCCTTCCAAACCTCAGCGGTGAAATAATCCTGATGGGTTTGTGTAGTTACAGCAGAGACATTTCACACCGTGTTCCCACTGCTGGGGTAACATTTGGGTCCACCATGTGACAGACAAATAGACTGAGGAGCTTTCATGCAAATAAAAGTTAGAAGAATTAGGTAAAAACCCAGCAACTGGTTAAAAAGCATTGGTGTTCTACCAGCACAGGGCTGAGAGGGAGACTGGGTTTATTCCTGCTGCCCAACTCAACCCTCCCTCCCTCCCTCCCTCTCCCAGATGGAAAGTCCTGATCCACTTTCCTTTATCCACAAGCCACGGCTAAAGCTCACAGAACATCTCCAGGGGTTCAACCCGCACCAAATCTTGCACCTCAAGCTCCCTGAGGGAGTCAGCAGCAAACCCAAAACTCCCAAATCCAGCCTCCAGTCACTGCTGAGCCCGGGAGGTGACGACTCTCCCTCTGCCACCACCACCGCCAGTTCTAAGTCTGCTTGTTGGTTCATGTCATCTTTCTCACACGGCTTTCCTCACATCCACTAACAGAATTAATTTCTAACTCTGCTATAGGGCACTTGGAACAATTCTATAGCTTGTTTGGATTTCTAGACTTGGGGAGGCGGGGGGAATTACCCCTCTGTTGGTAGCTGCTCCTGATTCAGTTTAATCCCAAACTGAAGCAGTGGTTTCACCAGACTGAACCACAGCTGATAAGCGGGGTAGTAGATAATTTATTCCTTTGGTTATGCTGAAGAATCAGACCCTTGAGGATCAGGGCTGTGCTCTGAGACCTCCTGTTCCAGAGACAACACAACCTGCAAGTCTGGTCTCCTCCACAATAATAAAACAGCGTAAATTCTGACAGCAACGCTGGGTGGTAGAGCTTGAGCACAACCCGAGGCCAGGGCAGCCCTCAGACAGGTCCTAATCACACCTGCAAAGCAACTGGCACAGGAGCAGATGACACACTCACACACTCCAAAAATCAGGGTCCAACCAGACCCTCAGCACAAGAAGCAAAAGCCTCAAAGTGCAGATGAGGAGTGGACACAACAGCCCGACACGACCCTCTCAGTCATCTCCCGATTCCCACCAGCGCTGGCAGGAGCTGCAGGAACACAGATTGCCAAGATATTCACTGATAACCTCCAAAACCCACAACAGAGGGGTTTAATTCCTTTTTCAAAGCCCACAGAACAACTCACTGGGTTATTCTGCGTACAAAGACTAAGAGCCTTTGCTGCTGGGTTGGCCAACTGGAGATCAGATACCACAGCAGATTTGTCTTAAGGTCAGTGCGAAGGGATTGAGAAAATATTTTGGGTTTTCCCATTACAAGAGAATTTGTCTAAATTCAGCCTCCATAATTGACCTAAAGTCAGGCCGCTTTGGCTTACAGATTTATGAAAGGAGGGAAATATCCTTCCCTTCAGCGCTTCCCTCCAGGTTTTATTTGGCTGCACGGAACCAGATTGAGTGTTTAGGACACACAATTTAACCTGCAACAACATCAGCAAGGCAAGAGGTGACTTTTCAAGAGGAGCATCAGCAAGCCCTCACCACACTCCACTCCAGACTCAGAAGCCCCAGACCTGCCTCATACACGAGGAAAACAGGGAAATGTGAGGAGGAAAAGCCACATTTAGACCTTTGGTTTTCACGGGACAAAGCCAAGACCCCTCTGACAGGTGCACACAAAAAAAATACTCTTTTGACATCATAAATACCTACATAAGCCAGAGAACATCAGTAAATTAAAAGGAACTGATTAACGTAAACCTGGGGTTTAAGGATGCCCACAAGAAAGGGAGGGGAAAAAAAAGTAGGAGATCTTTCTTTTTCTGGGCAGGTCACACCTGGATGTCTCGATGCTCCTGCACACAAGGACAGGTAACACCTGTAAACACACACAAGCTCCCAAGAGGAGCCTACACATCTCTCCACTACGTGTGGGCACTGGAATGGTTTTGGAGAAAGAATTCCCCATGGGATGAACCCACATCCTCAGCCAAAAAAAAACCCGAAAACCTCCATTTTAAAGTTCTGCATCCGCCAAGAAACTCCGTGCGGGGTTCCAGGCTCGTCCTGCACGGTCAGAAGCCAAACCTCGGCCTGCCCACGCCCCCTCAGCCCCGGGGGGGTCCGGAGAGAGCCGGGCCGGGAGGGACCTACCTTGGTGGGCATCTCGGCCAGGCCCATCCTCACACCTGCGCTCCAGGTGCTCAGCACGGGGATGGGGGGGAGACCTCCGGGATCCTTTCCAGCGATGGAGGGGGGGGGCAAGTTTCTTATTTATTTACTCCGGGAGGTGGGAAAAGCCGGGCCCTGCGGGAGAGAAAAGGGCTGTGAGGGGAGGGGGCCCCGCAGCCCCTCTGCCCCGTTACCTCCATCCCGCCCCGGGCCGGCCGGCGGGGCCGGGCCCGCCAGCGCTCGCAGGCCGGCCCGGGGGCGCGGAGCGCCAGGGGGGAGCCCCCCAACCCCTCTGCTCCTGCTGGAAGCCCCCCGGGCCCGGCCTCGCTTCCCGGGGCTAAAATGGAGGCGCGGGGCGGGTGAAGGGGTTGGGGGGGGGGGTCCCCGCTCCGCACGGAGCCGGCCGGGCCCGGCCCCCCGGGGGGGGCAGCGCGGCGAGGCGGAGCTCCCCCTGCGCCCCCCCGCGACCCCCGACCCGCAACTCCCTTGCGTGGGGAAGGGGGACCCGCCCCCCCCCCACACACCTCCTCCCTCCCTCCCTCCCTCCCTGCCCGCCTTTCCCCCAGCCTCTCCGCGGCCCGGCCCCCCCTTTCCCCCCCCCCGCAGCCAAGTTGAGGGACGGCGGGGCCGCGGGTCCGGGGGCGGCTGTGCCGGGCTGTGGGTACGGCCGTGAGGGGAGGGGGGCGGCGACCCCCGGGCCGTGGCCGGCGCCCCCCGCCCGCGCCGCGCCCGCCCGTACCTGCGCCGCTCCGCCGCCTGCGAGCGGGCACCTTCCGCCCCCCCCGCGCGCCCATTGGCTGCGCGCGGGGCATGGGCGCGCCCCATTGGCCGCCGCCCCGTCAATCACGGCCCGGGGGGCGGGGCGGGCGGTGATTGATGCGGTGCCGCCGCTCGGCCCCTGCCCCGCGACCCCCCCCCAGGGCCCCCCCACGCTCAGTGACACCCCCCCCACCGGGGACCCCCCCACCCCGGTCAGAGCGCACCCGCACAGGGCGCTCCGGGGGGACCAGGGCGCTGCGCAGCCCCCCCCCGGGGTAGCCGAGGGTCCGGCCGGGCCGCGGGAGCGGCGGGGCGGGGGGCGGAGGGGTGCGGGTCTTGCGGGGGGAGTTGCGGGGGGATGGTGCGGGGTGGGGGTGCCCCGCAGGTGTCAGCGGGTCGGGGCTGGGGGGACGCGCGGGGTGCCCCGCGGGCCGCAGGCCACTCGTGCCCCGTGCGGGGCGAGGGTCCCGCGGCGCTGGAGGGACCTGCGGGGGGACCAGGGGGGTGACACTGGGGCGCCCGGCACGGGGCGAGGGGGGCGTGGGCTCCTGTCCCGCGGGTGGCACCGGGCCCGTGTCCCGCGGGTGG